GCACGCATACATGCATGCCTACATTCATACACACTCAGAAAAATACAAAATAACATACAATTATTCATATACACGTACATACATACTTACATAATACATGCCTATAGAAATAAACAAATGAATTCATACTTGTATACATACATACACAATACACATATGCATACATGCTCAGGCAGATATAAAATAACATACAAATATTTTTACATACTTACGTACACACAGACACACACTCACAAACACACACAAAAACACATACTAATGTGCTCCATATGTAGTTTTGTTGATTAATTATCTCAGTTGGTGTTGGAGTAATACACGATGCAATTGTTTCACCATCAGTTAGTTACTCCATGACCTGCTCGCTTCTTATGCAGAATTGCTTAAACATTTCTGCATGATTTATGAGTCTGGGCTCTTTCTCCTGAACATCTACTTTATAGAGGTTTACACATATACGCACACACACACGCGCACACGCAGAAACATTTTTACTTATAAATGCATGTACGCACATCCACTCAAACACACACACATACACACACGTATACTACCAAACATGTGAGTTGATTTTGGCAAATTGTATCAATATTAAAAAACAGTTCAATTGTTATTTAAGAAAAGTGTTAAAAATACACTTAAAAGTAGAAAATGGTAACAATGAAAACGACAGTAGATAGTGAACCAGTGGTGAAATAACCTAACAGCAATCATTCACTGAGTAGACTATCAAGCAAGAACTTGGTGATGGATTAGATCACTGAGGAAGGACAATTATTGTTTACGAACATCTTAGGTTGGATGAATGGCGAACGTGAGTGAGTAGAGAAATGACAAGTCGATGGATTGAAAAATAAATGGATGAAAAAAGAGTGTATGAATGAATGAACGAACGAACGAACGAACGAACAAACGAACGAACGAACATATGAATGAATGAATGAATGAATGAATGAATGACAGATGCACGGATTGATGGATGTCGAGTTGAATTGATCGATGAATGGAAAGATGAATGAAACTGGAAGAATGTAGACGTGATGAATGTGTGGATCGAGAGATCGAATGGATCGTTATTCTTGAAATTGTAAAAAATGAATAATTCAACGGATGGATGGATGGATTGATGGATTGATATATGAATGGATTGATGGATGGATTGATGTATGAATGGATTGATGACACGCAAGGTTAAATTATGCAATGTCAAAACAAATATTGAATATAATTCAGATAACTCCTGCATAACAATAAGAATCATAAAACTTTTTTGGAAATAAAACATACGAAATTAAATTATCGTTAATAAACATAAAAATATTTTAAAATTGTTAACTCAAAAAAAATTCTAAACAACATTTAAAAAAAACCACTGGAATAACCGAAGGAATATTTGCACACCTGACAATTAGGTTAGCAACACCCCACCATCGGAATAGCATAACATGACATGAAGTATTTGCTTACAAACATTCAAACTGGAGCAGCACTCATTATAACATCTTCGCGTAACATGTCTCAAGTATATCGAATGATGATTTGTTTTGTAAACAAAGACAGGTTGTGGCATAGAGACTAACTACTAATTTTATATACATCGTTTGTATGTGTGTATGTACATTTGGACCTGATGTTCTTACTAGGTTTTCATAAAAAATTATGCTCACGCAGACATAACACATAAACGTAGGTACGTACATGGAAATTTTAGGAAAGAGATAACGGAGTTGGCTTTATTCTGCAATTAATTTTTTTTTTGGAAAAATTTCTTTTCAGAATTAATTTTTATAGAAGTTTTTTGACTGATTTAAAATTATCATATGTGCTAGGTTTTTGAAAATTAACAAACTAATTAATTATTAAAAAATTGATTAAATAGATTTCATCATTTCAGTTGAAACTTTTTTCAGCTCAACATTATATGAATGGTGAATGTATAAATATATGAACAATATATGAACGTATAAATGAATAGTTGAAGAGATTAATTACGAAATAAATTAGATAAATAATGAACGAATGAGTGAATTGAATTATAAATTAACAACTGATGGAACATAAGCTGAATAGTTCGGCCTGCTGACCGATTGACCGACCGACCAACCATCCAACCAACCAACCAGCCAACCAGCCAACCAACCAACCAAACATCTAACCAACCATCCAACCAGCCAACCAGCCAGCCAACTAACCAACCAACCAGCTAAACATCTAACCAATCATCCAACCAGCCAACCAGCCAGCCAACTAACTAACCGACCAACCCGCCAATCAATCATTCCGTCAATCAGCACCCACCACCCACAAATGCAGCCAATATCTTAACACCTGATTCAATTGAATTAGTCACGTGATCAATGTTGCTGGCATACGCTCGATCGGGGGCGTTATTCATTTTTGACGGTTTTTTTTTCTGTTCTATTTTTTCTTTCTTTCCTTCACAAGTTAATCACAGATCTTCAAATGTTCGCTTAAACTAATAAGCTACACCAAAATATGAAGTGCATTTCAACCATTAAATTAAGAATTTTAATTTTGTTTCTTTTGTTTCAAGCGAGTTGCTCAGCGATAGGGGTCCTAAGTTACAACCACAACAACTTCAGTTTGATTTTATATGGAAAGCTCCTTTTATATATTTGAAACTGTCAATGTGGTAAGCTGTAATAGTTTTGGATTGATGTGTTTATATAAATTGTGTTGATTTTAATAATTATCAATGTTTTTTTTTCAAAATTTATAACTTTTTCATTTTTTCATTGCAATAGAAAATTTGGAAGAATTTATTTCATTTCAAAAAAAAGATTTAGAATGCGACTACTTTATTACTACCATTTTGCTGCAATTATGTTGAGTTTAATTTTTCAACAGCTATAAAAAGCGATCCAGATATTTTGTTATAAATAATTTCAGCATCAGTGAAAAAGAGTTAGGATAAAGAAGTTCATGCCATTAATTAATTTTATAATTATGAAAAATTGATAATAAGATGAGCAAAATAAGTTGCAGTTCTTCATAATTTTTTTCAAGTAATTTTTATTCATTGAAGTGAAATGAATAATTGAGACATTTCTATGTCGTCGTATTCATGCCATTCAATTCACAATTGAATGAAACTCAATTAACGTTCGGAGCGCAAACTATTAAACTACTGAATGCCTAATTGTTAAGAAATTTTCCGAGTATAAAATTCAAAAGAAGGCAATTAAAGAAAGATGGATATTGTTGAACCACAACAATGCCACCTCTACCAACCAACCAACCAGCCAGCGACCCCGTGCACAATTCCTTACTTGAACGACTCGTGAAATAATTAATTCCATGAATTGTGCGCTTCATCTCGTTAAACTATCGTCTTCGTTTTCAATTGCTCGTACTAGCTTCGTGTGTGTGCGTGTGCGTGTGTATGTGTGCGTGTGCATGTGTGTGTATATGTGTGTGTATTTGTGTGTGTGCAATAACAATTATCGTCAAATCCTTGCTAATTATAATCATCATTGTACAGCACACGATGTACGCATTTTTATATATTGTAAAGTTTTACATGAATATCATGGAGTTATATAGTGTGATTGCGTTTATGTGCACATGTGTTGTTAGTAAACATATAATTAAGTGTATGTGAATATACATTTTTATACGTACACATGTAACAAAGGTATGCACGTGTGTTACTTATCTGTATGTATGTATGTAGGTGTATTAACCAATGCCTGAAAATACTTTTCAACATTTAATCAAAATTAGAACAAATTATGATGAATATCCATCACAAAACGAACAAATTGAAACATTTGTTAAAGATTTCATGAAAGAGATTTCATGGCAGATGTTCATTTTGAACTTCTACAACAATGCGCTAACATCACCTCGGATTATTTGATGCTGTCCAATGGATGTGTTGGTTGGAAGTGGTGGTCAGGTTCCACAAGTTTGTCATTAAATATCAAATTTTGAACATCATTCAACAAGTTTAAATAACCTTAGAAAAAAAAATTTAATGAACAGCCTTGCAAGATTATTTTGAAAAATGTTTTCCTGAAGGCTTGTCAGGATGATTTATTTGAAATTTATAATTAACTACCTGCCATAACTTCTTCAACGTAACCGATAAAGTTGAGAATTTTAAAAATTAAAAGAATTCCTAAATTTTATATTGATAAACACAGAGGCAGTACGTATTAATATTGGATATCGGATAGAAGTTAGATAACTATTGATACTGCATCGGTAATTCAGTGATTGTGATATATCCAAGAAATATCTTTTTGTTCTAATTTTAAAACAAACTGAAAAATGGTGAGATGGACGAAGTTTTTAAATTGTACAAGTGGCTTCGGTTACAACGCATTTAATCCAATAAAATGTGCATGTTTGGTACTCGATGAATGTTAGCAGACAATGTTACTCATAAAATTCTTACCAATAATTATCATGAGATATCCGATAAGGCTTAGAAGTTACATTTATATATATATATATTTATATACAAGTGTGTGTGGGTGTTTGCGTGTGTGTGTGTGAGTGCGTGTATGTGTGTGTGTTGACAATGTTGATGAGATGATGATGACAATAACAACGAGGAAAAAAATGGCATCGGAAAAAATTGTTGTGAAATCTTTTCGAAAGAATTGAAGGATAAGATTTTGCTCTTGCCATTGAACTTTTGTCTCCGTCTGATTGATATGCCTGCACCTGGACCTAACAGGCAATTATATTTCTCAAATCACTTTTTTCTAAAAAAGTGTTTCAGTAAGAAGTTTAATTTAAAATGAGGAAAAAATTAATATTTCAAGCATACCACAAAATTTGTTGTGATATAAATATGTGTGTGTTTACTCTTTATAGTGTTTGTTGAGACAATTTTTATTTTTAAATTTAAATTTGTTAGTTCAATGAATCAATGTTTTTTTTTTGGTTAGAGGTTTTTCAAATTTGCTAATTTTAAATCAATTTGGTCATTTTTTTTAACTCGACTAAAACTATTTTTATGAAATTAATACAAAATGTCCAAATTGTGCAATACAAAACTGACAGAAATGCAAAATTTTTTGAAATATACATCTGGAGAGTATAGGAACATTCGGAAACAAGCAGCGTCGATGGCACAAGACGATCAAAGCAATTGTCTCGCTAGAATCTCATTCACGTCGTCAGAAATTGAAACGGAGGTGATGGTGGTCGAGCGAGGTCAAGGGTCAGCCATGTATCTGCCTTCTGCGTCAGCGTCCGCGCCGTTAAACCAATTTGTTCGATACATCGTGCGCGGGTAAGTATGTAATGTTGATTTGTGTGCCAGAGCGCTGGCTTTTTTACTTCGCGGTGATGTGTTTAACAGGCAAGACTAAACTTTTGTGTGCACATTTAATTTTTTTTTTTTTTTTTTATTAGTCTTTATTATTGCAGCTCTGACATACGCAAAACCACTTACAATGTTACTGATATATCATCTATATATCTTTATTATGTTCTTCATATCTTCAACCAATGATATGAAGCAGCCATTTTTTGCCACAAAGGCTGTTTGTTTATCCTGTTCACACGACGTACACATGGATTTATGTGCATCATATACGCTGAGTATATGATAGCCATTGAGATGTTTGACTCACTGCGCATTCGAACCACTGAGCCATCTCGCCGGCCAGCATGCGACAACTTACGTCGTCTACCCATTAACCAACCCCGAAAGGATGGACGACTGGGTTGACCGGGAGTCGGCTACCCGGATGAACTTGTAGAAACTGCAGAATTCGAACCCGGGTCGTGGAAGTGGTAGACAGACACGCTAACCACTCGGCCACGAGACCCCATAAATGCTTGTATGAATGCGTCTTTGTTTGCTTTCATGAGTTTGTGTGTTATTTACGGTAATACAACTATATATTATAAATTATACTATATACGATAAATATTTGCATTTCTCGATCAAACGTCTGAAGTGACAGTGTGCAATGTGCATGCATTGCGCCATTTAATTGGGCTGATGTTGTTTCAACGTTTGTACCTGGAGGTATCAGCATGATTTTTCTGTTCAGTTGTATCGGTTGTTGTTTTTAGCATGAACATGTGAACTTAAATTAATACAGTGTAGCAGATACAGCAGTAAATAGAACATTACCTTCCACTAATCATGTTATTAAACGTCAGTTGAATGAAAATGTTCTTGATCGAATTGAAAATATATTTAAATCTGGGAAGAAGAACAAATTCACAACACTACGTGTGTATGGCGTTATATGTGACAACTTATTTATTCATATATGGCTATTTAACGTTGAAGATGGTGGGTACAAGGCCTGATTCAAATTCACGAGGGTGCATGTGTAATGCAGCCGCGACAATCTGCGTGCATGCAACGATATGAATGAAAATTTACAGCAGCGTGGCCATAAAATATACACGATGTTTAATTTATGCCATCCAACTTCTTGCGGTCCGTCTGCTGTGTAGCAATTGAACGCTGTGTCGTATCGTGTCGTGTTCCTAGCTTTTTATTGGTTGTTGTGGGTGGCGATGGTAGATGTGTTGATGTCGTTGCTAGGTTAGTTGTTGTTGGATCTTTGGTGGTCTCTGTTTGAGAGGTTTGTTTGTTAGAGCTACGATGGTCTCAATAGTTGTTTGATTGAGATTCAGTTTGAATGGTTTTAAATTTAAAACCTGATTCTAATACGAACGTTGAAGTTTGAACGAACATTAAAATGAATGAACGAGTGAACAGTTTATTCGAAGAAGGACAAGCTTAAAAATGCATTTGATGTTTGTTTTATGAGACTGCAAGGTGCTCTGGAACGTGTTGCGCAATTTATAGGCGCAATGATGGTTTGTATTATGTTGGTCTAGTGAGGATATTAATACAACGTATTTGCATTTTTGTGAGACTGCTAACATTTATATATATGTGTGTGTCAATGAATTGTTTTGCATCGGCATGCTTGTGTTTGTTTGCTGCGCCTAAGTAGGCATGTCTGAATCTGAGCTTGATAAGTTTTATTTTCAGAACATGTTCACTGTGCTTTAATTCACAGAAGTGGAGTTTCTGCTGACGAATTGAACGTAGGTGTTGAATTGAATGTTGTGGATGAATGATGGAGGCAGTTGGGAGGAATTTGAGTGCATGGCTCAACGAGTAAGCAAATAGACTGCAAGATGGCTGTGCGGCCAGATGGAGAGATCGGCAGACGAATAAATGAATGAATGAATGGATGGATGAATGATGTTTCAACGACAAGCATTCAATTACTTGAACGAACGCATGAACGGAAACCACAATTAAAAAGATAGTATGATACGAGTGTTATTTGATAAGAATGTATACTGATGATAGCCAGTGAATACGGACATGAATGCAAAGATATAAAAAACTTCAATTTAAGTCAAACTGCAAATGTAAACAACTATTTCAAAAAATGTTATGTTAAAAGAATTCACACCAAGTGATATTTTTAATAATTTTTCTTAAAGTACGAAAAAATTCTCAGTACAGCATACTGTCTGTCACTAATTTAAAAATCAAATCAAATGTTACGATGTTTTTAATGTTATTTCTATGTTGTTGTATAGAAATGATGACACGAGGGCAAGTAACATATGTGCGTAAAAACAAAAGTACCATCTCGATAGTCCTTCAAATGGTCCCAGGACAATATGTCGGCCACCAACATCTTCATATTCAATCGCCTCAGATAGGTTGTTCGCCCCCTGCATGTGTGTGTGTGTGTGGTGGTGTGTGTGTGTGTGTGTGGTGCGTTTATTGAATTATTGGTAAAATAATTTTGTATTACATAAAAATTTTAAATTTGCCAACATTGTGATAACATTTCTTGAAGCGCAATCAAGTAATGCTTGGAGTGGATACAATTTTACAGTTATCATTTTCACTGCATTTTGCCAGCGTTATAATAATATTTTATCAATTAAAACTATTCCAGGTATAAAAAAATTTAAGTCTTGTCTGCTTTGTAACTTAGTTTTGAAACTTAACAAATAAAATTTTAATCGTGCTTAAACATCTGTTTGTGGTTGGTAGCTGGAGGTCTGTGGCTACTCGTGGTGGCTCGTTGTGGCTTATAGTGGCTTGTCGTAACTTCATTTTTTGAAGTAGACACAACTGGGGAGTGTTTGAGAAATTTTTAAAGTTTAATTTTGAAGCACCTTCATCAACAGGATGGGTATATAATACGTAGCATACCTATCACGCATTGATGATCGAATCGAACTTGATATTCATTTATTCACCCATCCACTTTCTCATACTTATTAATTTGTTGCCTCACGTGAAATATAAACACAACAAACACACAACTACATACACACTTTAATACACACACACACACGCACGTACACACACGCATTCTTATAGGCAGAAATACACACGTGCATCCTTAAACGGATAGCCTAGGGTAGAATATGATCATTAAAATGCTTACACCTTCGCCTCCATGTTGCAATCACCTGTACGAAATCTCTGGAAGCAGCAACTTGTGCACGTGTGCGGATGTGCTTTCGTCGTTTTCTCCTCACCTAAAACGTGATTTTATCAGGAGGTTGTCGCAAGGAAATGAAAAAATGCTTCTAAAGATTGAAGCGTGAATGCGTGTTTTTTAAATAACTTGAAAAGTTTTTTGTGAAAAAAGTTTATATGAAATATGAAAATGTTTATGAAATGTTTTTAGCGGATATTTTTAAACAGCTGTAGGAGACAAGACAGTGTGTCAGATGGTCGGCATGCATCTTGCGTTCAAACATTTGCTTGAAAGCTCAGAACGCTCCTGACGTTTATGTTAATGTGTTTGTTTGCATTCAGAGAACAATGTGCCACAAAATCCGAAGTGCACACAAAAAATATGGAGATGTGCAATACTTAAAAATGTACATGTACAATACACGCGTGTCCAACCATCCGAATGTGAAGAACATTCTTGCAACGCGTGCATTCCTATCTATGCGTTTACCATTTAGCCTAACATTAAATCTTGTTGAATTAAAAAAGAACCTACTGATCATATGCATAAAATAATAAACACGTTTTGACTTAGTTTATTTTTTTATCAAAAACCAATATTACAATGACAACCATGCATGTGATATGCGGATGATTTTGGTTGTGTGTGACTGTGTGTATCACATGTAATGTAGCATATATCACATCCATTTGATTCGTTCAAATGAATAACACGTGCGTATTATCCAACACAGTCTGGTCACAAACAACAAATAGATTTTATTTTTATGTTTTGTTATATAGAAATAAATAAATGTATGGAACGTTGTACATCTTGCATCGTTCACATTTTACGTCTGTTGTTCACCCGTGCTGTCATCCTTTCACTATGGTTAATTAAAAGTGAAATCCATTCAGAAGATCCCTATTGAAAAATATTAATAAGTTTTTTTTGATACTAAGAACTAATAAATAAGCTCCAGGATACAATGAACGTAGAAAATGGAGAAAACACGATGGAGAGAATTGCAATGAAAATAGAATCTCTTGACAATGAATGTTACATTTACAATTGACATGATGAGCTTAATTAGAATCAAATATCTGATAGATAAATTGGATGTTGCATGGTGCATGAATGTTGCTAGGTAGGATGCGTGTTGCGTAGATGGATGAATGTTGATTAGATATATAAGAATTTTTCATAGATAGATAGAGGTACTGCATATATTATATATATATATATATATATTATGTGTATTATATATATATATATATATATATATTATATGTATTGTATACATGGCGTCTATATGACAACTAATCAAATATTTTGTTTGCATCCCATTTATTATTGAAATAAAAAAACTTGTTGTTTCAACAAATTTTCATGCACGTGTTGTGGAGAATAAAAACACCGTTGACACCTTCATTTCGGCAAACAGACTGAAATGCTTGCACACATTAGCAGAACAAAAATAATCTGTATTAACATTAATACCTACATTATGTACTTTACAGACAGGGTTCCTTCTGAACTTTCAGACATTTCCAAAGTACATTTTTATACTTAAGATAAACAATGTGTCAGGTAAGCAAACAACAATTGAAACGACAAATTCGCAAATTTAAATTTTCCTTAAATTGAATTCCAAACTCGGTTAACATTTTAACATAGAAATAACATGTAAATTTATTCAGGTTAGCACACCACAAATTTCACCATTTGCACTCCAGCAAGCAAAACAAACAAACCAACATCAGACGCACACCCAAGCTAGAGAAAGAGAGGCATACAGATATATTAATTTACCTCGCTTATACCAATACACACACACACGCGCACACACACACACACACACACACGCGCACACACACACACACACACACACATGCAGGCGTTTAAGCTTTATAGACGCACATGTATATAAATAATTAAACAAATACATACATACATCTACAAATTTTCAGAGACACGCCAACTGAAACGGACGTAGAAATAGAAGTGTAGGAAAGATGTCAGGTGTTGAATTAGCGTCAGGTAAGTTAGGTGAGGTTCAGCGGTGCGTGTGTTTTTAATTACATCACTCACTCATCACTGCATGCTTCGAATATTAAAACATGGACCATTAAAGTGACGCTACGACAACGACGACGATGGCGATTCTGACGCTGTGGCATGGTGGTGGCAGTTGTACTGTGTCGTGTTGCGTTTGGTTGATTTCTTATTTACATTTATAAACTGGTAAAAAATATTTTTTGATTCC